GGGGTAGAGTAGAGTAGAGTAGAGTAGAGTAGAGTAGAGTAGAGTAGGGTAGGGTAGGGTAGGGCAGAGTAGAGTAGAGTAGAGTAGAGTAGGGTAGAGTGGGGTAGAGTAGAGTAGAGTAGAGTAGAGTAGAGTAGAGTAGGGCAGGGCAGGGTAGGGCAGAGTAGAGTAGAGTAGAGTAGGGTAGAGTGGGGTAGAGTAGAGTAGAGTAGAGTAGAGTAGAGTAGGGTAGAGTGGGGTAGAGTAGAGTAGGGTAGGGTAGAGTAGAGTAGAGTAGAGTAGGGTAGAGTGGGGTAGAGTAGAGTAGAGTAGAGTAGAGTAGAGTAGGGTAGAGTGGGGTAGAGTAGAGTAGAGTAGAGTAGAGTAGGGTAGAGTAGAGTAGAGTAGGGTAGGGTAGGGTAGAGTAGAGTAGAGTAGAGTAGAGTAGGGTAGAGTAGAGTAGGGTAGGGTAGAGTAGAGTAGAGTAGAGTAGGGTAGAGTGGGGTAGAGTAGAGTAGAGTAGAGTAGGGTAGAGTGGGGTAGAGTAGAGTAGAGTAGAGTAGAGTAGAGTAGAGTAGAGTAGGGTAGGGTAGGGTAGGGTAGAGTAGGGAAGGGCAGGGCAGAGTAGAGTAGAGTAGAGTAGAGTAGGGTAGGGTAGAGTAGGGTAGAGTAGAGTAGGGCAGGGCAGGGTAGGGCAGAGTAGAGTAGAGTAGAGTAGAGTAGAGTAGAGTAGAGTAGGGTAGAGTAGAGTAGAGTAGAGTAGAGTAGAGTAGAGTAGGGTAGGGTAGGGTAGAGTAGAGTAGAGTAGAGTAGAGTAGGGTAGGGTAGAGTAGAGTAGAGTAGAGTAGAGTAGGGTAGGGTAGGGCAGGGCAGGGCAGGGTAGGGCAGAGTAGAGTAGAGTAGAGTAGAGTAGAGTAGAGTAGAGTAGAGTAGGGTAGGGTAGAGTAGAGTAGAGTAGAGTAGAGTAGAGTAGAGCAGGGTAGGGCAGAGTAGAGTAGAGTAGAGTAGGGTAGAGTGGTAGTAGAGTAGAGTAGAGTAGTAGAGTAGAGTAGAGTAGAGTAGAGTAGTGGTAGGGTAGGGTAGGAGAGTAGAGTAGAGTAGAGTAGAGTAGAGTAGAGTAGGGTAGAGTGGGGTAGAGTAGAGTAGAGTAGAGTAGAGTAGAGTAGAGTAGAGTAGGGCAGGGCAGGGTAGGGCAGAGTAGAGTAGAGTAGAGTAGAGTAGAGTAGAGTAGGGTAGAGTGGGGTAGAGTAGAGTAGAGTAGAGTAGAGTAGAGTAGAGTAGGGTAGA